AAGAAGAAGAAGAAAGAAGAAGAAAGAAGAAGAAAGAAGAAAGAAAGAAGAAGAAGAAAGAAGAAGAAAGAAGAAGAAGAAGAAGAAAGAAGAAAGAAGAAGAAAGAAGAAGAAGAAGAAAAGAAGAAGAAGAAGAAGAAAGAAGAAAGAAGAAGAAGAAGAAATAAGAAGAAAGAAGAAGAAGAAAGAAGAAAGAAGAAGAAAGAAGAAAGAAAGAAGAAGAAGAAAGAAGAAGAGAAGAAGAAAGAAAGAAAGAAGAAGAAGAAGAAGAAGAAGAAGAAGAAGAAGAAGAAGAAGAAAGAAGAAGAAGAAGACAAGAAGAAAGAAGAAGAGAAGAAGAAGAAGAAAGAAGAAGAAAGAAGAAAGAAGAGAAGAAGAAGAAGAAGAAAGAAGAAGAAGAAGACAAAGAAGAAAGAAGAAAGAAAGAAGAAGAAAGAAGAAGAAAGAAGAAGAGAAGAAGAAGAGAAAGAAAGAAGAAGAAGAGAGAGAAAGAAGAAGAAGAAAGAAAAAGAAGAAGAAGAAAGAAAGGAAGAAGAAGAAGAAAGGAAGAAGAAGAAAAAGAAAGAAGAAGAAAGAAAGAAGAAGAAAGAAGAAAAGAAGAAGAAGAAGAAAGAAGAAGAAGAAAAAAGAAGAAGAAGAAGAAAGAAGAAGAAGAAGAAAGAAGAAGAAGAAAGAAGAAGAAAGAAGAAGAAGAAGAAAGAAGAAGAAAGAAGAAAGAAGAAGAAAGAAGAAAGAAGAAGAAAGAAGAAAGAAGAAGAAAGAAGAAGAAGAAGAAGAAGAAAGAAGAAGAAGAAGAAAGAAAGAAGAAGAAGAAAAGAAGAAGAAGAAGAAGAAAGAAGAAGAAAGAAGAAGAAGAAGAAGAAAGAAGAAGAAGAAGAAAGAAGAAGAAGAAGAAAGAAGAAAGAAGAAGAAAGAAGAAAGAAGAAAGAAGAAGAAAGAGAAGAAAGAAGAAGAAAGAAGAAGAAAGAAGAAGAAAGAAGAAGAAAGAAAGAAGAGAAAGAAGAAAAGAAAGAGAGAAGAAAGAAGAAGAAGAAGAAAGAAGAAGAAGAGAAAGAAGAAGAAGAAAGAAGAAGAAGAAAAAGAAGAAGAAGAAAGAAAAAGAAGAAGAAAAGGAAGAAGAAGAAAGAGAAGAAGAAAAGAGAAAGAGAAGAGAAGAAGAAAGAAGAAGAAGAAGAAGACAGAAGAAGAAAGAAGAAGAAGAAAGAAGAAGAAAGAAAGAGAAGAAGAAGAAGAAAGAAAGAAGAAGAAAGAAGGAAAAGAAAGAAGAAGAAGAGAGAAGAAGAAAGAAAGAAGAAGAAGAAGAGAAGAAGAAAGAAAGAAGAAGAAGAAAGAAAGAAGAAAGAAGAAAGAAGAAGAAGAAGAAAGAAGAAGAAAGAAGAAGAAGAAAGAAGAAGAAGAAAGAAGAAGAAGAAGAAAGAAGAAGAAGAAAGAAGAAGAAGAAGAAAGAAGAAGAAGAAAGAAGAAGAAGAAGAAAGAAGAAGAAGAAAGAAGAAGAAGAAGAAAGAAGAAGAAGAAGAAGAAAGAAAGAAAGAAGAAGAAGAAAGGAAGAAGAAAGAAGAAGAAGAAAGAAGAAGAAGAAGAGAAGAAGAAGAAGAAAGAAGAAGAAGAAGTCAAAGAAGAAGAAAGAAAGAAAGAAGAAAGAAGAAGAAGAAAAGAAGAAGAGAAGAAAGAAGAAGAAGAAAGAAGAAGAAGAAAGAAGAAGAAAGAAGAAGAAGAAAGAAGAAGAAGAAAGAAGAAGAAGAAAGAAGAAGAAGAAAGAAGAAGAAGAAAAAAGAAGAAGAAAGAAGAAGAAGAAAGAAGAAAGAAGAAAGAAAGAAGAAGAAAGAAGAAGAAAGAAGAAAGAAGAAAGAGAAGCAGCAGCAGCAGCAGCAGCAGCAGCAGCAGCAGCAGCAGAAGAAGAAGAAGAAGAAGAAGAAGAAGAAGAAGAAGAAGAAGAAGAAGAAGAAGAAGAAGAAGAAGAAGAAGAAGAAGAAGAAGAAGAAGAAGGTTATGTGCACGTCTGTTTTACATATCTGGCTACTTGTGTACATATTGTTGGTTTACCTATTTTCAAACAGACCTACTCCGACTTCGAGGGAAACGTTGATCCTATCTGCACTGTTGGGCTGCTGGCCTGGGAGCCTGTTTCTAGGCTGACCAACCTTAGACAGTTGTGGATAGATCATGACTAGTGGTAGCCCTGGCTTTGGTACACGACAATCTGTGTTTCAGTTACTCTGTATCCCAAAAGTGAAATAACGGACCTGTTCACGTTTCCCGGTCCATCTACACACTTTCTCTGTCTGATCTAGGTCAGAGAGGTGTCACATTGTACTGCCTTCTTCGAAAAGAGTCTCTCGTATGAGCTAGGCTCAGGCTGTCGGCAGTAGGGTTTGGGTTAGAACCAGTACTAGATGTTCTGGGGTCGTTGAAGGTTGTGAGGTCGTGTAGTATAGAACACGCGACATCGGCGCTCATGTAGTTGGAGGCAAGACCGCATGAAACACCTCCTTTGTAGAAGAGTCTGAGAAAGTATGAATGGAAGGTCAGACAGTGTCTAAATGGCGCGGGAAACGTGAACAGGACCGAAATAACCTTACAGTTGAAAATGGAGGTGGGAGGTCTTCGTTGTAAAATAGTTAAACCGTTTGCCTCGTGCCCTGACGGTCTGGAAGGTGTGCCCCACGGCGGCGCCGCACAGTTCAATTTTTTTAGAGATCCCTAAGGATCGTCGCAGAAGCTACGGAGGTCGTGCTCTGTGCGACGCTCCCATGAGGCAGCTCGCTGTTCTATGGAGAGAGACTGAGCCATGTGGGATAAAATCCGGTGCGAAGAAGTCAATCCTCTTAACTATACCTTAGAGCTGAGAATACGCAACTTGGTTTTACGACCTAAACAGGTTAGAATGCCATATTTTGAAGGTTTTTCAAACTTGAGGTGGCAGTGCTAAAGGACCCTTTCCCACGCCTTCGGGAGACCTGGGCATGTAGGGCTAGACCTATTTTCTATAGACCAATCGGCACATGGTGGGTGATTGTGGTCAACATCACGCCGACCGCCTTTACCTGCTACTCACTTATGGCTAGGTCGACCTGGAAGCCAAGGTCACTTAAAAAACAAAACAAATTTGGCTCTGCCAGGACCCGAACTCACGATCTTCAAATGAGCAAGCGAGCGTCTAATAGCTACACCGCAACGCTTTTTGCTGTGCCAAAGCTTATCCTATTTTTTTTTTTTTTTGGTTCCTCGGTCAGTCAAAAATTATAGCAGTTTATAAAAAATGCTCACCTACAACCGTCAGTTCGTTTTCCGTTATCTTTGATGTGAAATTCAAGCCCCTGTAAGTCTGCTTCTGGTATTTCAACAGTCACTTCCCTAAATTTTTAAGTGTTTAAATTCTTAACTGATTTCTCTAAATCTTCTGAAAACGAAACAATATATCTGGAAAATTATAAAATACTACACGAAACAAATATTTTACTCTAAATTGCCTTTGCTAATTAAGAACGAAGTGAACAAACCAATTTTCAGCAGTCCTTTTTTATAGAGCACGTACAATACGTTTGATTCAATCTCAAAAAGTCACGACAATAT